CCCCAAAACCCCAAAACCCCAAAACCCCAAAACCCCAAATTTATGGCTTATAAATAGTTATAAATGATTGTGAAGAGAAGTTATGGGAGGACACTAAGCTGGCTATCTAACAGAAGGTTCATTACATATGACATGGAAGAGGTCATAGAACAGTATATTTCTTGTAACTTTTTATAGCCAAAGACTGCTCAAACCTAGAGATACCTTTACTGAGGTTCTCAACCGCTTTGAAGACATCAGTGATATCAGTGAATACGAATGGCTTGATCTCCAACACGAAAAGTAAAGTTTTTCCAGAACGGGCTCATCTTCTAGTAAAAATTTCATTGCTCCAGTGAAGCCGTATAAAGAGGATAGTTCATACAGCGATTCTATCCTAACAAGACGGGATGATTTCCGCTTAGACAGAGATACTTACCTGTAAGTCCTGTTCATGACCATAGAGAATACATTCATACTTCCAGGAATGGTGATGTAAGATGTCTCTAAAACTCTAGATTACATACAAAACCTACAAGGGCGCCCAAATTTTGTTCATTGGACCAGATTATCACTCCTTGGCTGGCACTCGGTTGAAGGTAAGCTCGCCTAGCTCATTGGATTAGGACCTGTATAAAACCTTGACTCTTGCCAAACCAAATGTGCTATTCGTGCAACAGAAGCCAGATAGATTTCTGGATGAGATGAAGTACCTCCCCACTAAGACGAAGAAGAATGATATCTTTATTGAGGATTACGGCAAGGAACAGATCAAAGTTGAGTTTGATATCGAAACATACATTAATCAACTTGTGATAGAAGGCCACCAGCTCTTTGCTAGCCACGAAAGCTATAATAGAGTTGTCCGTGATCTCAACAAGGCTGGAATTTTTGTCCAGAAAAGACTTAAAGACGAGAGTGAAGAGGCATACCAACTTAGAGTTGAAGAAATGAAAGAGTATGGCATCATGGACACCAGGGAAAGGATCAGCGCTGACTCTATGACAGCTATTGGTCTTTGGGCTAGCAGTCATCAAAAACCCATAATTTTAGCTGACATTCCAGATTATCTTCACAGGAAAAATATTGCTAGAAGCGAAGGAGTGTCTGAAATGAGGGAGTTGCTAAAAGAAGGGTGCTCTGATGTAATTTTGGACCCCAAGATCTACCCCCAGAAACCATATTTTGGAGCAGTCCACAGATGTCCAGATATTATGTTTCACTACGGAGATAGATACATGGCATCGTTGTTAAAATCGGTGATCAATAGAAACCCAGAGATAGGAACAATAGCAGTTTTGTGTGGGTATGGGCAGACTAAGTCGATTCCAACTTATATGGACTTCTCAGAAGCGACCTTGTATGATAATTTAAGCGTATCTGATACTAAAACCCATAAATATTTTGGGAAAGTAGATTCTATCCATAGCATGGTGGAGAAGCAAGTAATTTTGGACCATTTATACTTACACAAGAATGAATGAGCTCTTGATTATATCCAAGAACAAGAGAAAGCTGGAGAGGTTCCTAATGGTGTAACCCAGGAGCCTATCTTCAAGACTCTAAGATATCTGATAAACCATGAACTGAAGGAAAGTCCTAACCCGGTTGATTATGACTACAACTATTTCAAACATCTGTATCTGATGCTATTTGCAAATGAAGTTAATCAATTAAGACAAGACTCATATGCTGGTGCCAGGAAGCAGCTAGAGAACGAACTCAAGAGAAGAGTCAGAGATGACCCTGAACTTATCAGAAGAATCCAAGTGGCTAAGTCATAAAGAAATTCGTAATAAAACTGGCTCAATGGTGTCCCTGAGATTTGGATGATTTTGTCTAGAAACAAGCCTTTAAAAATTTCAATAAAATTTGAAGAATTAGGGGTTTTGGGGTTTTGGGGTTTTGGGGTTTTGGGG